CACCAAAGGGTGAGTCAACTTGGAACGACCACTTCCTTCTCTAAATTTTCCCCCTGAGTTGCCCTCAGACAGGGATGAGTCAAGTTAGAATGGCCACTTCCTTCTCTAAATGTTGCCCATGCATTGCCCATAAAAGGGATGAGTCAACTTGAAATGGCAACATCCTTCTCTAAATTTTCTCCCTGCATGCTCCACAAAAGGGTGAGTCAAGTTGAAATGGCAACATCCTTCTCTAAATTGTGCCCCTGCATTGCCCACATGAGTCAAGTTGAAGTGGCAACGTCCTTCTCTAACTTTTTCCCCTGCATTGCCGACAAAGGGGTGAGTCAACTTGGAAGGGCAACTTCCTTCTCTAAATTTGATCTGAGCCCCAAGCGTCGCAGTTTCGCCATTGGGCTTGTCTGAGACGGGGAGACTGGCAACTGACTGGAAAGCGTGTTGCGGGTTGGGCTTCTGGTCGCCCGCAGCATAGAAATAGACCTGCGCAGAGAGGGGGTGGTTAAAAACGGGCCACCGAACCACGGCCACCGGACCGGCCACCGGACTCGGGCTACCTGACCAGTAAGCGGCCTCCAGCCGCGGCCCCGGCCCGGCCACCGGCCACCGGCCCGGCCACCGGCCACCGGCCCCCGGCCATCGGCCACCGGCACCGGCTACCGGACCGGCCACCGGCCACCGGCCACCGGCCAGCAGCCACCGGCCACCGGCCACCGGCCACCGGCCACCGGCCTGGCCACCGGCCACCGACAAAAAAAGTATATACTCGGATCCTTAGGCTGAGGGTGTCCATGAGGTAAAACCTCTTGCCTGATAAGAACTCTGGCATGAGTGAAAGTAGGAGCGGACTCACACATGGAGATGAAGGCTCTCGTTGAAGAGCAAGCCAATTGGTGGATCCACAAATTGACAAGTTTTATCGTGATCCACACCATCTTGATGTTCATTCTTTATGTTTTTTCGCTGGCTACAGCTACAAGCGACAATTTCCATGCCTTTTCGCACTTGAGTCGCGTGATGCCACACGAGGCTAGGAGAGCAATGACAAGATCAAGGAAAACACATGGCTATGACCAGTATTTCGGCTGGTCTTGGAGAATGGGAACCAAATCGAGACTTTTGACTCTTTCTTGAAGCTCTACGAGTACCAGAACATACTTGGCAAGAATCAAATGGAACTGGCCTCATGCTATGGTCGACTGACTGTGCCCTTAGATGGCCTTCGGTTACATCGTGCCTGTATGGTGCATGACAAATAACAAACCAGCTTTCCAGTGTCGAGTTCCAAAGCCTTAAAGCAGACAAGCTGAGTCAATGCCTGCAGATTGATGACCAACCCTGTCGCCATGGGTGGCAACAAAAGTTTGCAGCCCATAAACTTTGGGCTGCGCAACACTTGTAAACCCAGGTGCGATCACAGTGTTTGCCATGGAACCTGTAACATCCAACTTCGATGGCTTCCATGGGCAGCTTCACACTCTCAAATCGAACAATTTTTTGGTCAGCAGGTTGGATTGTCTCCCGGAATCACTTTTTACACTCATGCCGCGCCGCCCTCCCAACAAACTCGAAAATGCCAGAAAACCTTGGATTTTGCATTGTCTGGAATCTCAACATGTCTCTATGAACTGAGGGTTTGGGCTGACATCAGGAGCAAAGCCATTGGTTAGGCTTCATTGCATTTTTTCAATATTTTTTCTTTATTTGTTATGTCAGGAGGTGAACTTTCAGGTTGCAAACAACTCGAAAAATTTTGGAGGAATTGTTTTATGTTTGACTTGTTTCAACAACAATCAACAACACGTTGGGCAAATGTTTGTGTAACATTGCCGGACAGCCGTGCTCAAGTGATGTGAGCGCAACCAAAGAACAGAAACGCCAATTTGATGGAACAAAACTTGCACTTGGTGTGATCTCTCAAGGTTGACATAAGGCTTCAATTGTCATCCACAGACGTCGGCGTTCGGTGTTAGCCTCGCCATGATGGCGTTACCTCCTGGGTCTCAGCCTCCTTGCTTGGATTTGGTTCCGTCATTGGATCTTCTTGCCTCCGATCACAGTGAGGATGACGGCAACGGTGATGAAGTGGTTCCAGAGCCAACCAATGCGGAACTTTTGAATGCTGCTGGTTCATCCATTAAACAACAACTGTTTGGGAAAGGTTTCAGGGGCCAGTTGGGACCCGCTCTCTTTTCTCTTTAATTGATTTTTGTTTAATTACAGTAAATGTACCTCAACTGTTGGTGTTCAATTGCGGAAACTAGAACGATTTGAGTCCATGAAATGGAAACTAGATGCACTGTTCTTGCAGTCCATTTTTGTGTTGTTCACTCACATCCATGTCATCCGCGGTATTTTGTTAATTGACAAAGTTCGTGCTTACCTGGCTCGTACGAGCACAGCAGTACAGTAACCACACGAACAAAAGTAGAACATGCATACTGGGGAGTTTACCTGTTGCTGCACTAGGTCGTGGAAAGCGTTGCCCACCCCTTGGTATTTTCGATTCATATCTTCTACTGAAGTTCCCGAGTATTCGCCCCATGTGGCCGAGGCGATTCGGAGCTTTTGGAGTTCCATGAATGAGAAAATGGAGACCTTGAACCGACGTGTCTTGGCACCCACTCTTCGTTGGACACATGAGTCCAACGATGTTCAACGACGTTCATAGATGGCTTTGGCTACACAGGTTCAGTTGTAGAAATGACAGTTCCCGTACCAAACTCATTTGCTGAAGCTGTCGGCTCTCGGCTGCCGAGGTATTGCTAGTCTTGGTGGCCCCATGGACAGAAGGCAATCGATGACTTCTGTGGCCTCTGACAATAGCTCCCAGCCGGTGAAGTCTACTTCCGCCAAGAAAAGTCAGGCCGGACTTGTGTGAAGTGGGGGTTTGGACTCTGTACTGAGCCGGACTTGTGGGACCTCTACTAGGGGACCCAAATTCGGCTCTAAGTCTCCATGGGACCACCATGTTTTCCAGTCTCGGACCTTCGTCACGAAGAGTCAGGCACTCAAGAGCGCTGCCATGCAAGCTTTGGAGATGGATATCTCCAAAATCGTGCCCTTTCGCACCGTGCAGCGGCGTGGGACCACCGGCAGCCCCAACATCACCGACTCTGCGACCACAGGCCGTTTCCGGGACAAGAAGCAGAGGCAGAAACCCAAGGAGTTGCTGGGCGGTCCTGTGTCTGGTAAGAGGGATAGGAAAAAAGAAGAGAACGCTCGAGGGACACGGGCATTCATATGTGCCCACAACGATGTATGGGCTGTTGGTCTCACTTTCACTATTATGCTTGTACTCTTTTCCGTCCTCTGGAAAGTTTTCTGTGAAGAGCAGGTCTGTCTTCATGCGTGCGACCAGCTTGTGCACGAACTGGACCGGGAAGTAGACATGTATGTGACGGATAGGGAGGTCCGGCTTGCCTAGGCTTTGATTGCGGCCAAAGGACATTACAACTGTTTGCATAAGCGCCAAGGTTTTGCCTGTGGCTTCAATGTCTGGTGTGCCTCCCTCCTCTTTTGCTTTCCATACAGGGGTCCCATTGGCTTCTTCAATTTTGGACTCGCAGGCCTTGGCACAATAGGATAAGAGTCCATATAGACCGTAGTCAACATAGGTAAGTCGAAAGTCGAAGCCCCTCAAGAGCCTCAACAGGACCCTAGAGGGTTTCTGCAGCATCCCCAGGACGTCACGAATGTAACAGTACGAGTGGTGCCACTACCAGACCTTCCGCGGAAGGATTTGTCTTCAGAAGTAGATGAAGATCAGATCCATGGGGCTTTTGCGGCAAAAGGGGCAGCGTCGCAACCAGAAGGCAGGGAGGCAAAGACTGCGGGCTCCAGTATGCGGGCGTGCGGTGAGAGAGGCAGTTCTTTGCCTCGAGGCAGTTCCAGTGCGAGTGTTGAGAAACCTCCCAGCTCGCAATCATCTACAGCGAAAAGAGCTATATCCTCGCATAAATGACCAACCATTTTCTTTTGAGTGATGGACTTTCTTTTTTCAATGTCTTTGTTCTGCTCACCCAACGAAGCGATTTGTTAAATAGCAGATGTCTCCCAGGACTGACCGGGCAGAACTTGCGTGTCGAGGGCATTGACATGAACGAGGCCAGCATGGAACCGAGATCCAGCGGTGAAAGAATGGCTTCGTTGCCCAGGGCCAATTCCAGCGCCAGTGGTGAGCGAGCCGATCGAGCTGCAAGCGCGCCGAACTCCCCACCCTCCCAAGCTGTTGGGATGAGGCATGAGAGAATCTGAGAAGTTGAATTATAGTAAAACTAATCATGACTTTCTTTGGCCAAGTGGAATGCTAAAACTTGTACTGTTTGTCCTTCCCTAAACTTGCTCAATGTGTTTCTGGGTGCTGGTACATGTGAGGATCGGATTCTCAACCGGGACCCAATCACCGAACTCAGTCGATCCAGAGCTCTGGGGGAGGCAGTGTGAGAGCTCGTCGCTCCAGCGTGGATCTGCAGCGTGCCGTGTCCCGGGGCAACCTCACGGAGGTCTTCAAGGTGAGAGAAAGTCAACTCACAGCCGATTTAAAGCCTTCCAGTGCCAGACCTCCCAGCCCTCGGGATCCCTCCGGTGCCTCGGGGGACGGGTCAATCGAGTCGCATTCTCCTACGAAACCAGTGAGTTTGCTGGAGCAATTGGACGTGCCGGCGGTGCAAGAACATAGCCACGAAGACGAGGAGGAGGATGTCGAAGCTCCCAGATCCTGGTGGCGGCATTTGAGCCCTTTGCAGACCTTTGTTTCAGGTCACTTGTCGAAGGCTTTGGGTTTGGTGCCCATCTTAGACGGGACCGGCCCTTTCCGCTACCGGCAGAGGGTCTCGATGCTTTACCACTGGCTGGTGATCTCATACCTGCTTTATGGAATAGTGACTGTGTCCTATGAGTTGAGCCTTTGTCATTTCGACAGCGGGATGCAGCCAGAGATTTGTGATGCTTCCTGGCCTCCTTTGGCCGTCGATTTGTTCCTCATGCTTGGCTCTTGCTTGGTTCTCATGAGCTTGGGTGGATTTTGGAACTACGCGGACCGGGCTGACCGGGAATGCTCATTTTTTCGGGTCAGCGAAACCGGTACTCATTTCAAAGAGTTTTCTTGCAACATAAGTTATTCTGTGAAGTGAAGCCTGACCTAGACCATATTCAATCTTCAGAACCTTATTTTTCGCTCAGGGTTGTCCACACTTTCACATAAGATGCCAGGTCCACAGAGTTTTCAATCTTGAACAGGCCCTGAACGAACATGCAGGCAAAAGAGTCTCCTGAAACCTCTTTGTTTCTTGTGTTCGTGCCGAAAGTCATTGGCAAGTCCTGAGCGGGCCTAGGGGGCTTAGCAGCTTGGGTTGGAATATCCATGAGCTGTCGAAACCTGGAGCTGCATCGATCAAAGTATGGTCCCCTAGTGTTCTGGTTTTAGTTCGGTGGAAACCATCAGAAACTGAGCAAGCATCATTGCAACAATTGCAGCAGCCAGCGGCACCAACGAGCTGCGCAACTGGTCAACATGCTTCAACTGTTTGTTGGGCCTTCTCAAACACGCCTTGGCCCCTGCGCTTCTTTGTTTTGAGGTTGACTCCAAATTTGCGCCATGATCCATGAGTTTGAAAGATTCAATTTCATAGTTTGTCTGGTGGTTTCTACATAGTCCCCCATGTCCCAATCTCGCTGTCGAAGGACACCACGAAGCTTGTGGCCCAGAGTGCAGAGGAGCTGATGTCCTACTGTGAACAGAACTCCCTGGATGAAGCCTGGAAGAGCTGGAGCTGTTCAGAGCCTTGGAACGGAGCAGAAGTGGACCAGTTTGATCGGAATGTAGGCCTTTAAGCCCCCGTAGGGTGTTGGAAAAGAGAAGGACCTTGAAGGTTTCTGATCGCCAAACAATGGGTGAGGTGTTCCTTGGACTCAGAGGGTTGGCTTGCTGAGCACTGGTTTCCATTTGGGATTTGATCCAATCCTCAGCGAAATGTTTCCACAGAGTTTTCAAAAACGATGCCCGTTGCTGGAAGGATGCGCTATGGGCACTATTGACCTGGGTCGTGCTCTTGATAGGACGCTTTGGACTCTATGGCTGGGCAGTCTGGAAAGGAGAGGAGCAGCTGGACTTGAGCGTGGTGACCTTTGCGAGCAAATTTTCCATCAGCACCGGAGTTTTGATCTTTGCTTGTTTCTGGCAGGTGCGAACCTCTCATGCCATGGCATTGATCGTGAATGCCTGGAGCGCTTGCTTGCTCATGGGCGTGTGTTCCTGCATGGAATCTCGCAACACCTGGCGTCGCGTCAGCGGCCTCTTCCGGAAGACTTCTCGCACCTTTGAGCGCTGCTGTGGCGCCTTAGGCTTGATCATCGTGGGTTTGGTCTTCTCTGCGTTGTATGACTTGCGACAAGGACGAGGTGAAGAGGTCTTGGCTTCCGTCTCCGTGGCAGTCATCATACCAGGTGGGCCGTAGAGGTGTCCGGAACGACGGGGTGCATGGCAGCGTCAGCGTGGTTGATTGGAATGCGCACATGACCCATCAGTGATAATAAGTCAGTATTAATCAAGTTAACAGGGCGATACCTCTTTTTTTTAAGCCAGTGCAGAAAGCACTTGAGAGGGTTGAGTTAACTCATTGGATGGTTTGGTGGAGAAGTACGGAATATTGCCTTCGCCATTTGTCCGTGAAGGTGTGCTTTGGACTCATGCTTGCACCACTACAGCATGCAATCGACTACCATCGCTGGTGACGTTATGCGAGGGGAGTGACGAGGATGAGGATGAGGAGTACACAGGTTTGGCCATGTTCTTGTCTTTGAGTGAGTGCGGTTTCTTCGTATCTGCGAGTCAAGATCAAGCTTTCACTTCAAGCTCCCCACAAATCAATTTTATGAGTGTCTACTCTTTTTTGCCTTTGATGGGGGGCTGCTTCAGCATTTTCGTCAGTAGGACATGGCTTTCCTTTTATTTGCGTCCTAAAAATAAGGTATGGGATACGTGTTTGACGGTCGGCCTGGTTCAGAAGTTCCTGTACTTCACCGCGGCCATGGCTGGCACCATCGGGTTTCAGACAGGAGCCTTGAACTTCAAAAGTTGAAGTTTGCCTTTGACGCAGTTATGCGCTTGATCGTTGCAAGACAACGTGCCGTCTAAAGCTGCAACACAGCTTGCATGCGGCTCCATGTAGGGCATAGGTATCAAAAAAAGTAAAAAGAGCATCAAAAAAAAACACAGGATCAACAAAAATAAAAAGCGAATCAAACAAAATATTCCTTGATAGGCCTCTTCTGCTACTCTCCTGGCCTTGTGGTCTGCGGGTCCTCTGGTAATGTGGTCCCTTGGTCCTTTGGTCCCTTGGTCCTCTGGTCCACTGGTCCTTTGGTCCCCTGGTCCCTTGGTCCTTTAGTCCACTGGTCCCCTAGTCCTCCGGTCTCCTGGTCCTCTGGTCCTGTGGTCCGCTGGTCCCCTAATATCCTAGTCCTTCTGTCTCCTGGTCCACTGGTCTTTTGCTCTCCTACGGCGCTCGTCTGTCGATCTCCTGGTCCCCTGCTTGCGCAAATAGAGGCTTGATTGCTTTCTACTAGAGGCAGCTCCCTGGGAAGAAAGTAGGTACCCAACGATAAGGTTGCCGTCCAGTCATTGAGTAGCCCTACTCGAAGAATGGTTTAGCAGTGGAAATAGCTCCCTACTAGGAGGGAGCTCCTGGGGAGGTACACTCTCCTCTACTACTCCAACCATCCTCAGTGCGCTAGAATATTTTTTTTTTTGATTACCTTTTTACTTTTTTATTGATCCCCGTTGAATATTTTTTTTGATTCTATTTTTATTGTTATTTTGATCCCTTGCCCTCCATATAGCATTTCAGGGTCATCTTCTTGTGGCTTACCAAGAGTCTTGGGTCCTGCCATGGTTTCTGCACTTGCGACGTACATATAAACTTCCCGCAAGGGCCTGACCGTCCCAACAGATTTGGATATCTTGAACTGCACAAGCCGTCTTGGGTTCAGATTGTCTCTGCATCATGTTTTGCCTTGCCGGCAGCTGAGTAGCGATCCAACCATTTCAAACAAAACCACACAGCCTAGTCAGCAGATCTGAAAAACGGCAATGACTTCTCCAAGACTAGAGCAAGAACAGAGGAGTCAACCAGGAGAGGCGGGTACGGTAAAGGACCATAGGGACAGCGTGCATACAATATTACTTTGACAGGACACTCGAGCTGTGCAGACTTTGGAGGATCCAAGACAACTCCTGGTTTTTCTGGCTTAGCGCTAACTTGCCCAAGAGAGGCCACCGATTGCTTCATTAATGGAGATCGAAGCTCGAATCTGGTTGGAAAATATCTAATGACTGGGACAGCTAAGCTTTGCTGCGAAGATTGTTTGAATCCCTTTATGATTCGATCTTTGTCGACTGGAGGAATTCTTCTCGAGAATGTTTGACTATCGTGCTAGGCAACGGGTGGACGGAAGCTTCAAATGAAGCACGAGACCATTGGCCATCCCCCGGCACGCGTTCTCTTGGCAAAGCCAACTTCTTCAACGCAACCTCCCAACAATCGAAGAACCTTCTTTGAGTTCACAGCTGTCCTCTCCCTTTTGCTTCATCAACAAACGACAAAATCCCTAGGCTCACTAGTCTCTTGGGTTGGTGTGTACTCTTCGAGAACATGAAGACTAGGTGACCTCACACGGAAGTTGGAACAGGCACTACCATTGGCTTCTGTGGGTTCTGCGAATTGTGTTCAATCTGTACTGCGACTGTATGCACTCCTTTTGCACAGGGAATTTCATTTTACCCAAAGGGTAGACCACTTAGCTTTGAAGACAATTAAACAAAGACGAGGATGGTAAGGAAGGATGGCCTTTCGACGTGGCTATCAAATCACCAACTCCTTGGCGAACCGAAACTTGAGTCTTCTTTTGGAGTCGTGGCCATTGTAGGCCAAGAAGTTCTGTTCACTGGACCAAGACGATACACGACTTGGGTTGATCCAATTGGTTGGTTGAAGCTGAATCCGTACCAGCGCAACGAATGCTCTGACCCCGGACGTCCTCCTCACGACTGTTCCTCTCGAGAACAGGGCTTCTGTTCAAGCCCTGCAGTTTGAATTGAAGGGTCTTCGATGAGCGAAGCCTGCGAGCTGGCGGCTTTTGCTGTTATGCAGTTATGCGGCCAGAGCTTGTGAAGTAAACTAGTGTTTGTGTTGGAGCACATGCTCCGGTCTGCCGACATCCTTGCTGTGCCTGATCTTCCAGCTAGATAGCCTTGCCGTGCCACTTGCCTGAGTTGGTCTCGACATTATGAGGGATTGACCAACATCACATGATGTAAGCAATGAAGCATAGATACTTGAGTCCTTTATTCTGTACGTCCATTCCCAATCCATGATAGACTCTCGACTCTTTTTACACTTATTTTGGCCATCCCTCATCCTACCAGCTTAAAACCAACAGAGCATTGTGCTGATTGTGAAAAGAGGCTGGGTGCATCTTTCCATTCAGATGAGTCCTCATGCCAGCAAGCTGCCGCCTTTTGGATCGCACTTCAATCCAATACTCCCCGCCGGCTTTCGCGGTTCCGTTCGGAAGCTGCTTCCCAAGCTGCCCGTCCGGTTTTCGGATCTTCCGTCTCCCCATGGGCCAAAGACTGCTGCCCCGGAGACGTCGAACGGTGGTGCCGCTGGTGGCAGCCTTGGTGGTGCCGCTGGCAGTACTTCCCCTGGCCAAAACCGGGCCTCTTTGGACTGAAGGCGGGGGCCTGGGTGGGGGAAGGGACAAGCATAAGAGAGTTGCACTCCCTGAAGTAATGACACTTGGTCCAGGTCCAAGTTGCTTTCGATTTGGTGAATCGTTGACTTTTCGATTCTCGGGTGTCGATTCTTCACTCGATCAGTGTCTAAAACTATTCACAGGATGTTTTGTGTTGTGTGAGGTTTTTGTTTCGAGTTCTTCCAGATGGGGGCATGTTGGTCAGAGCTTCCCGGACTCTTTGGTGACGCAGCATGTTTGATGAGGCTTTATTGCTTTTCCAGCTTTGTTTGTTGAGTGACTCGTGGTAGATCAGGCTTGGAAAAGCCTTGGCACAGTCAGTTGGTCAGGTGGCGATGCGCATGAGTCAGTTCTTGCAAAGTCCGCTTTGGCAGATTTCAAAAGAGAGTTGCCACACCCCTGGCAGCGGATAGGCCTGGTGGGTGAGGTGAGCTGGGACGGTGGACGATCCAACCGGGACCGACGGGAAGCAATGGAAGCAATGCTTCTAAGATTTGAGTTCCAACACTGGGACCAATGCCCCCTTCATCTCCTTTCTCTAGGAATTATCTCAACATTCAAGTTGCTGGAGAGGATGCTTTCCTGTCGCACTGGTGATTGAAGTGGATCCCTTCTCTCCACGCCGCCCGCATGGGTTTGGGTTTGGGAGCACCTCTGTACGGCATTTCGGTGGAGCTGTGGTGCGAAGCGCCGCGAGGCAACCTGCTGCTGAAGCCCGTCTCCTGGGCCTGGCCGAGTCGCCGTGGCTTTGGGAAGAACGGACGGGAGCGGCTGAAGAATGCTGGACTACAGGAAGCGGCTGGCCACTTGGTTTTGGCTTGAGTCGTTTGGAAGGTCTCAAAGTCCATGTCGCACGGAACTCAAAGTCTGTGTTGCAAGAGGCTTGTTAATTTGAGTACCCACCAAAGATCCTTATGTTTTGAGGGAAATAAAGCACAACTGATTCAACTGATTAATCTTTTCAATTTTCAACATGAGGAGAGTAGGTGATCATTTTCCCGGGTTGGCCAAGCCATGAATCTTTTAGCTGGGTTCCACGGGGCTACATCACACAGGTATCAAAGACCTGTTTGAGACCATGTTTTTTCCACGCTCTACATGAGCCAAGCTCAACATGTTCAATGTTGGTTCAGAGCACCGAGTATCTATGCAAGTTTGGTTACAACAAAGTGACACTTCTTATACAAAGCAAGACACAGTGGGTGTTCAGCTGCGCTGCTTCCGTGCTTGGGTCTTCCAAGAAAGATGCGCCCCGGACCCTCCATCCATGTCCACTACTTGTGCATGATCACTCTCCGAGTTGCTACAGCTCCACCCCTGCCTATACTTTCTAGCCGCTAGCCCTCATCCCATTTCATAAAAGCTGGTTGGAAGCCTCACCACGTCGTGCAAAAAAGGGCTTTGACAGAGCTTCTTGATAGCAAGCTCCTCATCCAATTGATGAGGGAATAGCTCAAAAAGGCCATTCAAAGAAGGACTTTCTATATCGCTTTGATGCTTTTGAGGTGGCTCGAAATGGCATTCTTGGCTGCAGGCCGTTGGGCAAACTTGAATTCTCCATGGTACACATGTTTCCTCCACGCTCCTCGACATACGAGGGTGGGCAACCAACCACCCTCTGGAAACGACCGGGCTGCAAGCCTGTGAATGTGATCACCAGACTGTTTGTCCTTTTGCTCTCATGATATCACAGGGTAGCACGATGGCAGCATTTGAGCGCAGTGAGCGTCTCTGGGGGCCCTGACGGCCCTGATCAGGAAGTCTGCCTTGTTCTTGGCTTGGACACGAGTGGTCACCGGCGAGGTGGTGCCTTCTGTCCAGAACTTTGGATCGATGAATCGTGGCCCCCCAATCGCCTCACGCCTCATGGGCAGCGCTCTGCGCCGGTCTGGACGTTCGCGGGTGGAGAACGCGGACACATTGTGGCTTGATTCATAGAAGTGAACCTTTTGAGAGCACACTGGCCACAAAAACTAGCTCTGACTCTAGGTTTTGACTTTCAAGTATCTCAGGCAAGAGTAATGGTTTTGTGGAGCCATCTGAGGTCATTCAAGCAAGTCTCATGAAAGACTTCTCCATGAAAGGGGCCAAGGCCCTCCTGGGCTTCGAAGTGGCTGGTATCACTTTACCCACGCTCCCGGCTCACCTCCCCAGCGGCATGCTGGACCCGCTCTGTACGGGTTACCTGCTGTGCCAGGCCTCCTGGGCAGTGCATCGGGCCACCACGCCCAACTCGGGCTTGGCCGGTGCGCCCAGGTGGATTCGTGAGATGTTGGTGCACGGTGGCCGCTTCGAGAGGCCTTACAGCTACACCGGGCAGACCGCAGAGCTGGCGGCGCTCGGTGGCTTGCTGCGCAGACTGATGCCCGGCGTGGTGCAGCCGCCCTTGTTTGAACTGCTGCAGGTGAACCATCGAAACTTGGAGAAGGCGCTGAAGCATCGAAAAGGTTTGCGTTGGCAGCTCCGAGCCGCACCAGAGAGACCACTGGAAGGCTTTGGGAAGAGCTTTCTGGTGGTGAACTTGATGCGGCTCCTGGGTGGATCCAGGGGACGATCCTTCGTCTTGACACAGGTGACTGGGCGAATCGGAAAATCACACGCCACGTGTCACGTGTTAAAGGGGGTGTAGGCCGCTAGTAGCCAGGTAGGTAGTAGTAGCTAGAGGAAGCTAGTAAGGGAGAAGCTAGTAAGGGAGAAGCTAGTGCTGCAAGAGCGCAACTACTTAGGTCGCAGGATAGCTCAGGAAGCTTCCTTGAAGAAGTGCTCGCACCAATGATTTGGTTCCTAGATTTTCAGGGAAGCGATGCACCTTGTTCCTAGTAGCGATGCACCTTGTAATCCAAATCTGCCTTCATGACGAGCTGAGGGTCACTTCGCCAGCCATTTGGGTGATCAAGACTTTGTACCTAACTCCAAACCCATGGTCAAATAGAAACAAGAATGACACAAGAATGAACAAGAAGCTACTACTAGGGGCTCCTAGCCGTACTAGAAGCAAGGACGCTACGAACGGAACAAGATCATGGGTGGAACACGTCCCTGCAACCTGGCGAGGACCGTGCCTCGGCGCTCTGCGCCGGTGACGCCAAGGCCGCCGCGCTGGCGCTGCTGCAGGCGCGGCGCTTGGTGCCGCCGCGTCTGGCCAGGGTGGTGGCGTGGCCAGTGTTGAGAGTTGAGAGTTCGGGATGGGTGCAAGCTGCGAGGACTATTGCAATCTTCTAGCTCCTAGTAGCGTCCTTGCTCCTAGTAGTGGGTTTGGGGTGTCCCAAGCAATTCTGTTTCGTTTGGGCGCTCAGAATGGATCCGGTTGAACGAAAGCATGAGTCTTTTGGGCGGGCGAGTCCTCTGTGGGGTGTCGTTGCTTGGAGGACCGGAGACATATCCTTCCTATCCACTCTGGGGTGACCCTAAGACTCTAGGTAAGGACGGTTTTCGTGTGTTCAATGGGTAAATGGGCGTGTGACCACCCACTGCGAGTGCTCTCACCCACTGTGATTCTTCCATTGCCTACTAGCCCAAAGTGGAACTCCTCTCGACTTACTGTTGTGCTGTGGTGATGCAAGTTGACATGCGAACACAGAGTTTGTGGAACGCAGCCACAAAGGGCACGGACTCATGGGTTTCGCGTCCGCGTCCTCGGCTTCACGTCCCCCCACATCAGTAGATTGCCCGGCTCAAAAAGCGGCCATTGATTGGACTCTGTTCGGTAGTTGAATTATGGAACATGGGATCGGACCAATTATTTGATGACAAGCCTGTCGGGCATGGGAAGTCTTAGCACATTAGGTTCTTCATTTCAATTCCATCTCAGCCCAAGTAAAAGTGCCGTTTTGCAACTCTTTTCCGACCTTACCTCATTTGCTCACCTCATTGCACCCTATTTGAGTCTCTTCTGCCTTGGTTTGACCTCATCAGTTTGGCATGCTTCAACAAATAGGATAACCCACTCAGCAGCTTTTGCTTGCTGCCTCTGTCAAGACCATTCTGTATTGAAAGGACTTGAAAAGAACCTGACAAAAAGACATCCAGGTTCGCTGAGGAATCACAGCCTTTTCCATAATGGTTTTGGTGCCAAGCTATTTGAGGCATTCTCTTTGTAAGATGGGGTGGCTGCCTTCTGGGTGTTGCCGCCTTCCGAGGACGTCGACGAGACCTTGTCCTCCTTCGCCTCCCGTGCGCACGAGAGCGCCTGGCGCCTGCGCCGCGACGCGCTGCTGCGGAACCCGGCGGAGCCGCCGCCCGCGGTGCGGGTCGCGGAGTTGTTGAGCTGGGCGCAGAGCGAGCAGGGCAAGCGGTTGATGGCTTTGGCTGAGGTGGGGGGCGAGTGGGCCCTACTTTGGGCAGGGCCGAGGTGGGCATGAGGTGCTTCAAGGTTTTTAGAGTTTTCCTTGTTTTTTGCTGAGGAAGGCTGTAGATCAAGCTCGAAGAGTACTGAACTGGATCAGCAAAACTCCAGCATTGCATGTTGAAGTTTCAACAGGGGCACTCAGTGCCCATCTCCACACAGGTGCGACGGGGCCACCGGGTGGTGGTGGAGAGGCTCGGTGAAGAGGTCTGGAGGCCTTGGGCTGGATATGCTGGAGTGGTGGGCTTACTGGTGCTCCCCGTCTTGACGCCCATCGACGCGGTGCGGTGGGCTTCCTGGTGCACCATGAGCTTGACGATTTTTGGGCTCATGCTGCCTCTCCTGGGCTTCCTGGGGGCTCCAGCACTGCCGGGGCCGACCTTCCTGAGCCTGGGTTGCCTGGCACTTTATTCATTGATTGCAGGAAGTATTTGGTGGAACCACCTGCTGGGTGGTGCCAGAAGATGGGCAACTTAGCTTTGCCGAGAAACTTTCCATTTTCTTCGCAGCCAGGAAGGTTAAAGGGGAAGCACAAACAGCAGAAGAGCTTCCAAACTTTTGTCGATCCAAAACATGTTGATGTGCTTGTAAATTTTAAATGGATATAATACAGAGGACAGATGCTGGTTAGGCCCCTCACCAAAAGTTCCTCTTCACCCCATGATCCTTTGAACATGCCGAAGAGAATCACCAAAAAGCTCCACCTTCTTCTTCACGAACCTCGGTTTCCACGCCCTTTCTGAGGCCATTCTGAGTGGTCAATTGGCCTCTCAACTGGTGGACCAAGCGGATGCTGCTGCGGGCATCGCTTTCTTGACGCGGGACTGGGCGGAGATGGCCCGACGCTCCTTGGTGGCGCTGGATCAGGACAGCCGCATCCGGGTGGACGAGCGAGGGGGTGGCCTGGGTGTGTGGCGGTGGTTATGGCGGTTTGGTGAGAGGGGTTGTTGTAACAGGGGTTGGCTTTGGTTGGCAATATTTGGGAGGTGAGGGTTTAACATCCCTATCCCAACTTGGACTTTTGAAGATTCTCTTGACAAGTCTTCGTGTTTTTTTGTCCAACTCAGGGGGGTTGGCAGCGAGACTTCCTGTTTTCAAGCTTCAGGAGCTTTGCGGTAGCTGGCGAACAAGCCTCCATGAGCTTGCGCCGGGAGAGCCTGGACATGGACCGGGTAGAGGCTTTTTTTAGTTTTTCTCCACAGAGCTTGTCCTCCCATAAACACACATGGAAGTTGGAGTGTTTGGCCATTGTACAGAATCAACCTTTCCACCTTTTGAGCAAGATCCACCAGAGGACGAACAGACAAAACCAGCTTCATTCCAGTGATCTAACTAGAATCTTGCTTAGGTCTGAATGCCTGATGAACCAATCATAGATTCGTTCGATCATGTTCGATCAATGCTCAGGATCCTGAGTCAATCCTCTTGCCAGTCCCGTTTTGCCGGATCGACCCCCGCGGATCCTTGGGATCCATCGGAATCGACGTCCGGCGACGGCGAAGGTCGAAGCTGGCCGATCTGCGGCAAGAGCTGGAGGCGAACGGGGAAGCAGCATCCCGGTGGCCGGGCGGACTGGAATTGCCTGGTGTGAGATGGAGAAGTCCGGAGGTCGGTGCAAGGTAAGTGCAGTTTGGCTTCCCCCAGCCCCACAGCTCAAAGAGTTTTGGAATGTTTTTCACAACGTTTTTTTCCTTATATCAAAAGGTTGGGGTTGCTTCATTGCGAGACTGGCCCAATTCTTGTACTTCGTTTGAAACCTCTTAATGCTTCTGCTCTTTTCTTTGGTTTGTCGTGTTCAGTGTCAAACGGTTGCACCTCTTCGGAAATTCTTCGAAGACGTGCAGAGGCCTGGCTGGAACGCCAGGGCTATTGGCCTGCCTGGTAAGTAATACGAATTTGACGAGGAAGTTGAGGGGAAGTGAATGGTGCCACCGAAGCCCAAAGCTATGACTATGCCCCACGTCACCAGCGCCACTGGTTCATCGGACACGCTTCAGGAGCCGCCGGCGCCTAGTGGGGTGTCCAAGACGTCTGAGTGAGGCAAAAGTAGGTGGCTCTTGATGCTTTTTTGGCAGAAGGTTTTGGTCCTTCATTCATATTGTGGCTCGTTTCCAATTTAGAATGTGAAGGCTGAACATTCTGACTTCCTACTCAGGCAATGGGCAGAAGTCGCTGCGCGATGGCTACTCGAGCGTTCCCGCGGAGGCGCGTGCTCGGGGGGGCTTGGAGCACGGAGCCACGCTGCAGGAGCACGGACCTTTTGGTTCACCGAAAGAAGAGCCTGCACCCTCCCTGTCAAGAGCCCGCGAAACATCTTCCTCCAGCCCGCATCTTCCTTCATTTACTAGGCCTCCAGGTTGGTTGAACAAAAAATCTGCGACACAGGTTGATCTTGATCTCAGAAATGTTGGACACCCTTTTTCATCAAGTCTTTGGCCACAGAGCGCCACCAGTATGGATGGTTGACACTGACGCTTTGCCAGGAGGACGGAATGCCCCAGCGTTTGGCCCGTGAACCCGGGTGGAGCCGGGAAGGGGATGCTCTGAGGGGATGCTCTAAGGTTCTCAGGTCCATCACAGGTGAGGTGACCAAAACAGGGGCACCCTGCTTTCGGGCAGGTTGAGTGTTTTGCACTGCAACATCAAAGAACGATCAGGTCGACCTGTGCCCCATCCTTCCAATCTGGCATACGTACCCCTCGTTTGCACGTGGACAACTTTGTTGTGATTTCGGGTTTCAAGCCGAAGACTCCGTGTTTTCCGCTGCGCAGGGCTGCGCTCCACGTGTGTTCCGCCCCGACCCGTTGGAGCCTTTGGTGGCCCAAGGGGATGAGATGTCCCTCAGCCCCGGGCGGGAAAGAACTCGTGCGTTGCTCAACCTTTGGTGTCCGTATACGCAGCTTGGCTTTGTGTGGGCTCTCTTTCTCCGGAGCGTGAAGGTTGGGTTTGAGCGAGTACCATCATGGATTGCAAGATTCAGGATTTGATTCCTTAAGCGGTCGTGTTGCCCGCTGCCCTATCTAGAGATTTGTGTACAGTGTTAACCGCCTTGAAAAGGTTTTTGCTTGAGGTTGCCTATTCAGATCTTGCTGTTGCCCAACAGCTAATGCATTGGTTGGCTCCTCAGATGATGGATCAGTGCTGGGAATTTAAGACGTTGGGATCTTGAAATCTTTTCGAGTTGCTTCTTGCCCCGCTCACAGCCAGGTGTATGACAATGAGGCATCGCTTCATTTTGGTGCTAGCAGGGCACCCAGAGTCCGAGTCGTGCAGTGGGTGCAGTTGGCTGGGGCTGCCTGGAGCATCAAACTGAGCCACCTGGCAGCCAGCTGGAAGCCACCTGGGCTACGTTTCTGATTCATAGACTTGATACAACTAGGGGCCCAATGCCATAACCAGAGGTTGTGCTCACTCATCAATGAAAGCGAAAGAACTGTGGGAGACGCGAAGACGGCTATGCTTCCACATCAGGAGTTTGTAGATGAAAGCATAGAACACTCGTTGCATTTACCCGCTGACATTGGTGGAACTGCTTCAGGCTTCAGGCATTCCTAGTAATGCCCTTTGTTAGAGGCCAAGGAAAAACCCACTTAGAAGCCTTCAGAGTGAACTGAGATAGAGGTCTTCAGACAAGAACCAGTCGTTTATGCTCCTGCTTTCTTTTCCGCACTTTGCTTTGACTGCAAGGTTGCAACTGAGCTGGCTTTCGTTTCTGCGGTCCATACACAGGAAGCAGCGCGCGCTTGCCGTTTTGGGGGTGGTCGGTGGACATCGGCGCATTTTGGCCTGTTCTGAATAAATCCTGGTGGGCTCTGGGTGTTTCCAGAATCATGCATGGTTTGGAGGGTCCTAGTATTTCCCAAGTAGATGAGTTTGCTTATATGGATAGGTCTCGTGACCTACAACTGTTCTTGCTGCTCTTGCTCGTTAGGAACCCGCTGAGCGAGAACGAGACACTCGCTCGGCTTCAGATCAAGCAGGTCCGGGTTTCCGTGGACGGTGTGCGACAACATCGGTTTTGGGATCCCAGGACCGATTCGCTTTCCTTCCAAGTCATGCTCTTGGATGGGCCAAGCCAAGCAAGGCTACTTAGTTTGTATCTCTTTATATAAATGTGTCCAATTTATGTAGAGTTGGGATGTTCGACTTAGGCGAAGCATACCCTGAAGCATTCATACTCCATAGTCAAACATCCCGGCCCGGGAACGATAACAGCAATACACTCCAGTTGTGCGGTGTCGGCCAAAAAGGTGTCTTTAAACTTAGGGCAACTCAGGCAAGACCCTTTTTTAGAAGGAGGCCGAAGGAAAACATTGAGTTCTGCAGGCTTTTCTTGTGCTGCACTACTGGCTTTTCTCCTTGACCGTCTTTCACGCTTGGCCCAGGCGTTGCCGCTAGCAGTGCCGGCGCTAAGTTGGCTCCCAAGTGACAATTGGAAGTGACATTTCAAAGGTTGAAGGCAAACATGTTGCTGGAAGGGATCACCTTTGTAAAGACTGCTCCCTGTTCAAGCGAGGGGATTCTTTTTTGCAGGGAGGACGCGTGAGAGGACACCTGAAGTTTGATCGTTTCCGACTTTTGGGGCATAGGAAGGCGACCAAAATGGTTTGCGTGGAATTTGCAGTGAGATCTTGACTTTGTGTGGGTGTCTCTCCATTGACCCACTTTGCTGCCTGACACCACGTGCCGCATGCCACATGCCGTGTGATAAAGGTCTGCTACTTCACTTTGCTCAAACATCCCAAGCCGAACCCGAACTGCCAAGGTCAAGTCGGCTATTGCGATCTGAAGAAGGCCAGTGGGTGTGTTGGCTGGGGAACAATGATTGTTGGGGGTTTCCTGCATAGGTGGAACACCCTTCCAGAGCTATTCTCTTTTCCAGCGCCAGAAATTGGGGTCTACCATGATCTGCTTGTATCCCCGGAACCTCAGCTGGGGGAAGATTTGTCAATTCCTTGCAGAACGCGGTGAATGTTTAACACACAGCCATCTAGGTTGAAACGCATAGATAAACAGGTATGTATGGACAATTCCAGCTTAGACAAGACTCGAGACATTCTGTTCTTTCTTTTCTTTTGTTCTCTCTCCCTCTCTCTCCCTCTCTCTCTCTCTCACACTCACTCCCTCACTCCCTCACTCCCTCCCTCACTCCCCTTCTCTCTCTCTCTCTCACGCTCACTCCACTCCACTCCACTCCACTCCACTCCACTCCACTCCACTCCCTCGCAAACTGGCTCTTGCTCTCCCTGTCCCTCTCGCCCTCCGTCTGCGTCTGCGTCTCTTTGTGTCTCACCTTTTTTGCAGAACTCTTTCTGCCCGGGCTTCCGCTATTTGGTTGCGGTGATTGGGTGGTATGCTGGGCCAGACGTTGCACCCAGGAGCTCGAGCCATGGTGGTGAGCTCTGATGCCAAGGCCGACGCTCGCTGCACGACGTACACGTTCTCCCATTGACGCAGGTCTCTCAAACATGAACAAATGCGGAGTCAAAAATACTGACAGGAAGCTATGAAACCATCTACTTTCAAGACTCTCACTTTCAGCCTCACAATCCTTTGCCTTCATGAACCCTCACAGCCCTCGAACCTGCAAATGCTTGGAGACAGATGTCATTGGTTTCCTCTTTGAGTCAAATCGGTCTGCAGTGAAAAACCGCATGCACAGGGGTTTCCGGGGTTTCCTGCACTAGGGAGGCGTTGTCCGGGGGGCTTATTCAAGGGCGTGAGCCTGCAAGTGATCGAGGACAGGCGTGTTATGGTCCTATTCTTGCTGGGATCCTTTCACCCGCAGCCGGTGGAGGGAGGCCTGTGCCAGGGTGGTGCCTCACACTTGCTTGTTGTACTGGGTGAACCCTGCTGGAGGTGGTGGAAGTTCTATGTTGAGAACCGCTATCAATTTTCATTATATTGAGGCATAATTATTGCGTTGTGGCTCGTACCAAAAAGCCAGGTGGTAGAGGGAAAATGAAGAGGACCAACAACTGTGGATTTTACAACGGTAGATTTTTCCACTCAACGCAGTGGCCTTCTGGAGCAGATGTTGGTCAGAGCAAAGCGATGCCAGGTAGATTCTTCCGCAGAAGACCAAGATGTGCACCTTGGGCAGACAGAATTCAGATGCCAGTTGCAGCAAGTGTTTATGACTCCGGTCATGGACCCTTCCAGTCACGCCCCACCGGACAGGTTCCCTGAGTCTGTCCTGAAGAGTTTGAGGCCTCTTCATAGCGGTGAAGTGGGTGTGAGTGGCCAATGATGATAGCTCAGGTACATTGAGGGTGGACACAAGACTGACAAGACTCATGGGGGCAATGGAGGCAGGAAGGGTATCCGGCGTGGAAGGTGGCATGTGCAAGCGCGTAGTAGAAGACCCCGACAGGCCCGACAGAGCCTTCAACGTGCAATTCATCGGAATGTGCCGCTGTGTCCTGTGTGTTTTGGGTGCGGTGTCCACAGGTCGGTCCAGGAAGTGACGTGTGGCGATGAAAAACCATGAGAATGGCTTTCGTTGATGTATATACAGTATATATTATTCAGGCATGGCCCTCACCAGTTGAAGGGGAAGTAGATGAGACAGCAATGAGCCAGAATGGCTTTCGAGGGACCACAGGACCGAAACAAGCGCCAGACTATCGTCTTTCTGTGAAAAATAGATCTGAGAATGCCAGGCCACTCGGTTGCTGTGGACAGTGATGGTTCGAGCAACACTTTGGCCAGGACAGCGCAGTGGAAACTCGAGGTTCTCTTTTAGATTATCCAGATCTTGTCAAATGTGTCCCAGGACCAGGAAGACGAATCTCCTCCTGTCTTGCCCTTTTGTTACACCGCTCTTGGTGTTGACGGATGGGAGGAGTGGAATGCCTCTTCCCCAGCGCGAAGATTTCAAAGGTTCGGTCTGGGTGCGGGTCCAGGGGGTCGTCCAGCCATTAGTGAAGCCAGCAAGGTGGGTCGGGTTCCAGCACCTCAATCCTCAGGTGTCTTAAAGGTCTGGTGAGGACATGTGAGGACCCAAACATTCAGGATCCTTTCAGGCCCTGTGTCAATGGATTTTCAGTCTCCCAGTCTCCCAGTCTGTGTCCATGCGCGTCTCTTTTTTCGACCCCAAATCAGAGCCCCTGAGCGACTTGCTCCAAGCCTTCGTTCCCGGCCATGGTCGGAGGTGTCTCCTCAAGGAAGCTCATCGCCCACTCGGTGGAGGTGGGTCACGAACGATGGGACGCGGACCATGCGCATTTGGGGGACGTTACTACTCGTCGACCCTATAGTACTATAGAGGACCAGAACGAGACCCAGAGGAAGTCATGAACAGCCATCGGGTGTCCTTTCATCGGGTGTCCTTTGGGGACAACTGGGACAACTAGTCTTGTTTTATATGAATCGTTCCAACATCGCGATCTGACTAATTTATGGTGGCAGAAAAAAGGTCTCTGTTTCCCAGGGCGCGACCTAAGTGGGTGTGGCCAGTTTTTTTTTCACTCTTTTTTTTTGGGTGCCGTGTCAACATGTGGATCACTGGATGTTCACCATTCAATCGGAAGCAAACCATTGTTTTTTGTTTTTTTTCTCTTCTTCCTTTGGGAGACACCCTGGTTGCAGAGGACCCTAACGCTTGCGCTTCAGACGCGGTTGTATTTGGCTCAAAACCCGCTCGATGAGGCTGAAGAGGATGAAGAAGATGGAGAAGATGAGGCACCACAGGTGAGGTCCAGCTTCCGAAAGGAATTTCGACATCCCTGACAGTCCAGGTTGAGCCAAACTGAGTATGGTGGGCCCCCAGTAAACGGAAGTATATTGTAAATCCATTAAATTATCTTTTCGACACATGTTGACCATTATTTTTTCTGTGTGAAAACAACTCTGGAACCTTGCACAGGCCCCCCTGCCTCTTTCCAGCACCCTTCTGGCCCCGTCTCGGGACGGCTGGACCGGAGGATTGCGAGTACGGCGACTGGGAGAGGTGGTCGGAGTGCAGCAACTCCTGCGGGGGAGGATCCCGGCACAGGAGCGTTTGCATGTGCCGCAAGAGACGTGCGACGTCTGGGAGGTTGTGACGGTTTGGTTTACAGTTTACAGAAAACATCATGATATATCATGTGACAAGAGGTTTCGCCTTGAACGCTGCTTGAACGCTGCCACTTTGGCACCTGGTCTCTCGGTTTCGCCTTGCCCATTTTGGAAGGTGGAGAAGGTTGATCCCTGCTGTTGGTATCAGAGTCCTGGGGGTTTACTCTGAATTCCAAACCGAGCAAAGATCTTTTCTCCCGAGCTGGTGGTGTTTGGTGCGCTTCCCAAGTCCAGCGTTTCACCGTCCGGTCATCGCCAGGACTCGAAGCGTCGAACAAGAGGCCCATGAGTCCAACGTTCAGCAGAAGCGATGACTCAAACGTTCTGTGCATAACGGTTCTGCCGTCCCCAAAAGGGGGGACCTGGAAACCGTTCCAACAGCGTTCTTGGGAGTTCACACCTGGATGGAGAGCAGCCGGCGGAGCCGGTCCCTTCGGTTGGTCCGTGATGGGCCGAGCCAGGGCGAGAATGGTGGAAACGAGTGCAAGGACTCAGAAAAAGCAGAGACGGAGGACCCGGAAAAGACAGAGAGATCCGCTCGGCCGAGCTTGTAGCACGGGGTGATTTGTGATCCCTGCTGATGAGGCTGTCACTGACTTGTCTCCCGGGTGTCGCATGTCTTTTTTTGCCCATGAAGGGATTCTGAGCTCCTCTTCAATACTGTACCACATATTGTTGAAATTACTTAATACAGTGCTGGGAGCTGACAACACCACCCAGTCTCCTTTGGCCACCTTGCTCACCATCGTCCATAGTGGACTGGGCTACTTCTGTTGCAGCCATGAGGTGGGCTGCATTTTGTTCCAGTTCCTGAGACCTCACATGGATTAACAGAACCCTTAGGGACTAGAGACACTACTAGTAGCAAATAGCTACTAATAGCTTCTTAGTAGTAATGGCCTCGAACCTAATAGCAATGGCCTCCAACCTAATAGCTTCTAGCCACTCGTAGAACTTAGATTCAGGGATTCGGAGATATTTAGACCTCACATTTCGGGCCACCCGCACCAGAAGTCGCCGCGCAGAATCGGCCACGTCAGGACTGCAACTCGCACGCGTGCCCGGTGGATTGCGCGATCAGCAACTGGCAGGAGACCCGGCTGACCGGGAGGCCCCAAGGGGGGCTGTTGAACTCTTGGCTTTTCGTTCACGAAACGTTCTCTCGATATCCGTGCCTTTTCTGTCGATACGTGATTTTGTTCTCAAGCTCCTCGAGGGTTGGGGGGGGCGCTCCATGCCGCCCTGCTCCTCGTGCGGGCGGGTGTTCTTCGTCGACCCCGCCGGTACGTGCCGTGGGTGCATCGCTTTGCGGCGGCTCGCAGGTGAGCTGAGGTTCGTTCCGCTGTCCGAGCTCGACGCCTCCCTCACGGTCTACCTCCTTGAGACTTGCCTCCACACGATCGAGTATCTTCGTGACGTGGCTCACGCTCAGGCGGAACGGTTCGAGCAGTCGAGGCAGTCTCAGGGAGGCACAGGGCTTGGACTGAGCTCAAACCGGAGGAGCGAGAGAGGTGAGACAGCGAGCACCCAGGCCACTTCAGGGAGCAGGCGGGTGGAGACGCCTAGGACTGAGGAGAGAGGCCGTGGAGAGCGATCTGAGGGCGAGAAGGGTAGAAGGAAGGAAGAAAGAGGTCATGAGGAGAGAGAGCGAAAGAGGAGAAGGCGGGGGTGATCACGAAGACGGCTTTGGTGACTTCTCCATTGAGGACGGAGCACAATGAACGATGATGCAAGTCCAGCCAGGGGTTGTCGCCATCTCCCCCGTTATAGTGGATGGAACTGCGGTGGAAGTCCCTCTCTTCATTACCAAGCGTTGGGTCGAGTCAGATGGAAGCATTGTCGCGGAGTACACCTCCCTTGGGACTTCAGACCCTCAGACCTCCAGGAAGTTGACTCAGGTATCAAAGACACTGAACCTGGTTCACTTTTGCATGACGCCGGACTGCCAGGTGCCAGGGAATTTCCTCAGTCACATCCAGAAGGTCTTTTTGGTGAGAGGGGACCACATGAATGTCGATTTGTTGGGACACTCCGGACAAAGGCGTTGGTGTCAGCTTTGTTCAGAGCATCTTGGCATAGATGTCACGGCATCCCTCAACCCAGGCGCTTCAGAAGAGAGAGCAGAGAAGGACACAGAGGCACCGCGGAGAGGAGCACTACGACGTCCGGCCGCGAGTATAAGAAAGAAGAGAGCAGACGAGGTTGGCCCAGAGTTGAGCTTGCCGGCATTACCTCGGGGCGGAGGAGGCCCTGGGGTCAGCTTCAGCAACGAGGTACAGGTGATAGGAGACGGCGAGTCTCAGGGAGGCGAGGAGAGAAGAGAGAAGAAGCGGCAGAGGCGAGAGGGTGGAGGTCTTCGTCCTTCGTTGCCGCGAGATCCATCAGAAGGCATGGGAGAAGCACTAGGAGACCTGAGGAAAGAGCTTGCAGATCAGATGAGGCGCGAGAACGAGGAGGTCGAGGAGGCTGGTTTGAGACATACCTCAAAGGCAAGGGCATCAAGCTCTGTAGTGGAAGGGAAAAGTCGATCTGCCCCCACGAAGATGAGTTTGAGTATGGCTCAACCCCCTGCCGAGGTCGCCGGTCTCCTGGATGCCAGCCGAGGGGAGCGGAAAGGCGATTCTATGAGTGGCAAGAAGACGAAGAGTCCACGAGAAGAACTGGTGGCTGCGGCTGCTTCCGCTTCGGGCGACAGTGTCTCTGCCCATGGCAAGAAGAGCAAAGACAAGAAGAAGAAACGGGGGAAGGACTCCAGAATCATCCAGGCCCTGAGGTCCGCCATCGCGAAGAAGAAGAAGAAAAAGAAGAAGAAGAAGAGGAGCCCGACCGCAGGAGGAGAGGATCCGCCTGGCAGCAGTGGAGGAAGCGACGATTCAGGGGACTCGGATTCGGACTACTCCGAGGAGGAGAGCTACAGCGACTCGTCCGAAGAGAAGTTGAGCCGCAAGTTCAAGGCTCCATTGAAGAGGAAGGCAGAGAGGAGGCCTGGAAGTGTGGCGGAGCTCCTCTTGACCCAGATTGCGCAGCAGCTGCAAGAGATTCACGTGGATCGGGAGCAGCTCCTTACGGCAGGGCCCAGGGTGACAAGCTATTGGCAGATCACTCTACGCCCCCGGCATGGCGCTTTCGCACCTGCGATGAGGGAGCTCTTCCTCTTAGGAAGCGCCATCGACAAGATCAGGTCAGGGCATCTACTGGCTGCGCTCGACTATCTCTCAGGTCGCTTTATGGCCGTGGAGTCAGCGATCTCAGAGGGTTGGACGATGGCTCGATTCCTCGAGGTGTGCACGCCCGAAGAGGAACAAGTGGCGCCCGCCGAACTCCAGCTTCAAGCGCGGCGTCACGGCCAACTCATTGCCCGCGCTCACGGAAACGAAGGCAAAGGCAAGGGCTCAAGCGGCGGCCGCCCCTGGTCGCCCTATGCAGGAGGAGGAACTCCCTGGCGATGGCAGAAGGGCGACAAAGAGGGCAAAGGCAAGAAGGGAGGAAAGGAGAAGAAGGGCAGCAAGGATGGCAAGCGTCCAAAAGGAGGAGGAAAGGATGGCCACAAGGCCGAGGGAGACGAGGAGAAGTGAAGGTTGAACCCTCAAGGGAGGGGCTAAATTCGTGCAGGGTTGCTGTGGCTCGTGAGGAGCCGCTTGAGAGAAAGGTTGCAGAGGCTATAGAGGAAGAGGACCTTGAGGCAAAGGCTTCAGTGGGCCTAAAGGTTTCAGCTACAGAGGATGCTGGAGGAGCAGAGGAAGGCAAGAAGGTGGCTTTGACCCCGCCCAAAGGATGCGAGGTGAGAGCGGCCATGAATTCAAGTGGACTGAGGCGAGCGGAATGCAGGCTTCCTTTGAGGTTGGCTGAGGATGGCGTCAGGGGCGAGAGGATTGCTGATCTGCTATGCGAGACCAGATCGCTTGGCATGCTGGGTCTAGGCCTGGCCTGGGTCGCTTTCGAGGGTCGCCGCTCCGGGCTGTGCAAAGCTTGGCTCTGGCAGAACTTTGGCCGATTCCTGCAAAATGGATTCTGCGAGCAGCCTGGGGAGAAGCGCCGGTCGCTTTTCCCCTTTCCTCATGTTTGGGGTCGTTTGGAGGCTAAGTTTAAGGACACTTTGTTTGAGGACATCTTCTTTGAGTCGTTTTGGACTGTGACAGACGTCGTTGATGCGTGGTGCTTTCTTTCGGTGAAGTTCTGCCAACAATTGTTTTCTAGTGATTTGGGGTTCCGAGAAGGAAAACTTCGGAAGTCGCAAAGGCTGTGTTTGGAGACCATTAGGAAGAGGTTGAGGTGCAGTTGAAAGGAGATTTTGGTCATCCAGTTTGGGGGGCTCCCCAGATTAAGGAAGAACTTGCAAACAAGGACCTTGGATACGGGGGGGGAAGAAATAGGAAAGGTTGAGAAGCTCAGCTTGGAACAAATCACCCCGTCTTTGCCCCCCCGTGAACGTGGTGGATCCACCAAGCTGGACGATTGGTTGAGCAGTTCTACCAAAGCACTTCTCAAGGACCCGTCTAAACTGATGATCCCAGATAATGGACAGAAGCTGCCCACACTACGGGGACGTGTTCATGTCAAAGAAGGAGAGAGGTTAGACGTCGCTCGGCTGCTGGTTGAGCGCAACGTGTGCATTTGGCGGAGAGCAGAGGACACTTTGTGCTATCGTGGCCAGTCGGTTCGAAATGGACTATTTGGAGTTGTCAAGCCAGGCAAAATAGTAAACCAGAAACCAGTCTTGCGTGTCATCATGAATCTCATCCCCACCAACTCGTTGTTCAAGATCATCCCAGGGTCAGTTCACAGGCTCCCTTCTATCACCCAATGGTCTACATTGTTTATAGGTGAGGATGAAAAGGTGGAGATCAGCCAAGCCGACATTACTTCTGCTTTTTACCTTTTCCTTTTGCCCGAAGTGTGGCAATGCATCCTGCCCTTCAACATTGAAGCAGATGGGCGAGAGCTAGGCGCCGGCTACATCCCTCGTGTAAGGTATGTCCTGTGTGCCAAAGTGTTGCCTATGGGATGGCACAGTGCTGTGGGGCTCATGGAAGAGGCTGCAGAGCGTTTGCTCCTTGACAGCGGTTTGCCCCAACCAAGTGTGGTGAATAGAGTGTCTAAGCTGCCACGGGGGTTCACAGAGATCCTTGGACGAGAAGTGAATCAGGCTGAGCCCTTCTGGCACATCTACCTGGATAATTTCGCATCAGGGCAGAGAGTCCGTGGGGATCAAGACACTACTCAAGGAGGCGTGCTTCACCGTCAGGCCTTGGAACTGGGAGCAAAGATCCATGGTAGGGATGGCTGGCTAGGTGTGGAACCCCATAGGCTCCTCAAGGTGCTGAAACTCAGTTTGTGGCTCGCCTTCAGACCCAATCTACGTAAGAAGTCCCTGCAGATTTGTTTGGGTAGATGGATGCACGTCCTTCAGTTTCGAAGAGCAGCGATGTCACACTTCTCCGCGGTTTGGGACTTTCTTACAGTGGCTAGAAAACGGCGAGAATGGCAAGCTCGGTTTGAGCTGGTCATTGCATGCTTTGGGGGGCTCCTCTTCCACTCTGACTTGACCACACAGCCTTCAGGAATTGCGGGGGCCAGTGACTCCTCTATGAGAGGGGGAGCAGTTGGCATGACCGTGAACCTCACCGATCTGGGGCGAGATTTTCTAAGGTACGAAGAGGACCTATCCCGGCAGGGAACCGTTGTGCCTGTCCTGGTGATTTCCTGTTTTGATGGGATTGGGGGTTGCATGCGTTCGTACAACGTGGCAGGCGTCAGACCTCAACTCTATGTTAGCCTTGAGATCCACAAACCTGCAAAACGTGTGACGAGTAGGAGATGGCCGGAGATCATTGAGGCAGATGATATCACTAAGGTCAATGACGATGATATCCTTGAATGGATCAGCAAGGCAGGAGAGATTGAAGAGATCCATATTTGGGGTGGTTTCCCTTGCAAAGATCTTAGCGCTGCCAAGCATCGACGTGACAACCTCAAATGGCGATACAGTGGTCTTTTCTATGAGTTGCAGCGAATTTGGCGACGCACCCAAGCCTTGGCAGGAGAAAGAAAGACCCTCCTTTTTGCGGAGAACGTCTGTTCAATGGACGTTGCAGCACGTGACGAGATCTCTCAGGAGCTTGACATGTGGCCCCTCCGCTTAGACAGCGAGGCTTTAGTGCCCATGAGTCGGCCAAGGTTCGTGTGGACGAATCTTGAAACGGTGGACACGGACTCTATGTGGGTGGAAGAAAAGGAGGGTTTTTCGCAAGTGCGTTTTTGGTGCGAGCCGGTCTGCGATTTGAGGTGGCTTGAACAGGGTTTCCTCCAACTAGAAGGTCCAACTACATACCCCACATGCATGCGTGCCATCGTGCGACAGAAACCCCCTGAACGACCTGTTGGCTTAGGCCGGTGTTCAACGGAGGAGCTCATGAGGTGGCGTCAGGATCAGTTTAGATTCCCACCTTACCAGTACCGTAACTGTTACATGGTCGCCGACAAGATCACTGGTGCAGTTAGGTATATAAATGCGAGTGAAAGAGAGAAATTGCTCGGATACGGCTGGGGACATACGTTGCCAGCCCTCAGTGCCTCAGCAGCCAAAAAAATGCTCCAAGAGAGGTTACGAGGACGAGAGACTCTCGTTGCTGGGGGACTCATTCCCTGTTAACACATTCTGGTTCCTCTGCGCTCAAGCCTGCCGCAAATGGTGTCCTTTGCAAGTGACATCACACTACCGTGATCGCCTTGGACTTTGGCCAGGTGCATGCACACACATTTCCCTCCTTACCCCCATCGGTACGGTCCGGCCGTTCGGTTCGTCAGAAGGTGAATGTCTTGAAAGTGACCGGGAAGCCGAGAGGCTTGTGAGGCAATTAGCTAGAAGATGCAGCCACAATGGATCCGACATCAGAATTGCAACAGGAATCCCCATCAACCCGAAGGTCTTCCCACGACAATCCATACCAAGTGAATTCTGGAACTGGCGCATTACACTTTCCCGGAAATGGAGCAAACACGAGCACATCAATTGTCTTGAGCTTAGAAGCATCTTGTTGGCCTTGCAGTGGCGACTTGATAGGATTGGACTATGTAACCAGCGAGTGCTGCACTTGAGCGACAGTTCGGTCAGCATCAGCATACTCAGCAAGGGCAGGACCTCCAGCAAGGCCCTTGAACATGTCGTTCGTAAGGTCGGTTCTGTGTTGTTGATGTCCAATGCCGCCCTTTTCAACTGCCATGTGGACAGTTGGGATAACCCAACTGATGACGCCTCCCGCAGCTGAGAGCAGCAAGGCAGCAGGGTGAGGATGCCGCTTAGAGGACAGAGGAAAGTGCGCCGGAGGAGTCAAGATGAGAGAAAGGCTGAGAGGCAAGGTTTGCGCTTACAGGAGCTTGCGGTTAAGAAGGGAACCCTTCTCAGATATAAGAGAGCTTTGTTGCAAGGACTAGATGCCTGGGATTTCGCCTCCAAATTCATCTCGATTCCCATGCTGGATTTAGACATCACCGACTACATTGAGTTTTGTTTCGAGGAAGGTGAATCAATAGGACACATTGGGGACTTCCTGTCTGGGCTGCAGATGTACTTTCCCATGGTCAGAAAGAGACTTAACAGCGCATGGCGAATGTTCCGAATCTGGAAGAAGCATGAGAGAAGGCTTCAAGCCACACCGATCCCACCAGGTCTGTTGCGAGGCCTCATGGGATACTGCCTCCTGAAAGGTCATTTGACCTTCCTGGTACTCCTGTGCTTAGGCTATTTCGGCCTTTTGCGCACGGGGGAACTTTTAGGACTGAGGAGACAGGACTTGCAACTTTGTGATGGTTGTGCACTAGTGTTTTTAGGAAACACCAAGGGGGGTTCGAGAGAAAACAAAGATGAACATATCGTCATTCGCCAACCCCAGGCCCTGGCAGTTGTCAAGGCCTATTTGCGGAGCAGAGGACGACCTGAGGAGCACATCTGGCCATCGAGTGGCCAGCATTTTAGATCCTGCTTTGCATCGCTGCTTCAACACTTTGGGGCAGACAACTTAGGTTTTAGAGCTTACAGCCTGAGAAGGGGAGGAGCTACATCCCTGTATCGTCAGGGATGGCCTACGGAGAACACCCTCATTTTGGGGAGATGGAAGAGCACGACAAGTGCTCGCACCTATATAGATGACGGCCTGACGCAGCTAGCTTCTCTCAGTTTCACTCGAAAGGTACAGGCTAAGATAGCTTGCTTTTCAAAGCATTTCCCTGAATTCGCCTAAGGCAAGTGGGCCTTGAAGGCCCAGGAAGCGTGGAGTACAGAAGAGATTTGGGGAGACTTTAGAATTTGATGAGAAGTTGAATGGTCAACAAAGGCTGTCTGCAGATCAGCGCACCCAAAGACCGTGCCACATCGGTCTAGAGGATGGAAAGGGCGCAAGACCGTGCCACATCGGTCTTTTGTGAGGATGGGTTTTGAAGAGAGGAGATGGTTTGGTTGAAAAATGAGGTCAAGAGTTGACCTGTACAGAGTGATGACAGCAGTCATCTTCGTCAAATCTCACCTGCTCGCAGAAAAACAAATGCGCGGCATGAGAGAGAGTATGTCTTGGATGCAAGACTTGTTCCGAAATACCAAAAAATCCAAGACATACTCCTGAAGGTTCAAGTCCAACATGTTCAATTCGGCACCCATCGAGACTCATTTGTGGGTGGGCGCAAGCAATCAATCAATCAATCAATCAATTAATGACAATTAATGCATGGCCAGCCTTGTTGCTGGGCGGTGGGGCTGGGCCAACTTGCCTAAGTTGAGGTAGATTCCGGTAGAGTGCAGGAGGGGTTGAAGGCTGGACGCGTTCGATTGCGTTGACTGCTTGCAGGAAGACTTTGAATGCCCGAAACCTTTTGGAAGTGGTGGGTTTCTGACAACCAACTGTAAGCTAGCAGCGTTCAAGAAGATCTAGCATCTCCCACTGAGGCCATGGGGTGATGGTGACAGAAACACCTGAAACATCTGTATGTTGTCGGCCCCGCCCAAAAAAAATCACAGAACCTGCGCGAACTTGCTGAGGTTTCTGAGGTGTTTGTTCCACCCACCCATTCCTCACCTGAAAAAAGGACTGGAGCCGCTGCCTTCCAGACTGCTCGGGCCAGCGCAGCCGCTTGCGCACCGTGATCCAAGCCGCCACCCATGGGGGCGAGGCGTTTCCTGACCACCGGGACTCGTCAGGTCACCTCAGAGCGTCTTTCTTGCCGTTGAACACATCTGAACTTCTTTGAAGAACTCCTTCCCTTTGTCCGACTCCAGCAACTAGTAGTAACTAGTGATTCGTGCCAGCAGCGCCATATTCGAATTTAGGGTGGGCAAAGGAAACGACAGAAGATCCTTCCGTTGATGGGTCGACTCACGATGCGTCGGTCCACGCGGCCCACGCGTCCACGCGTCCGACCCTGCAGGCCTGTGGGGAGACCAAACAGGAGGAATCTTGCGATGGGATTTGCACAGACTGTGAGTTTCAGGACCGATCCAAGAAGAGGATCCTTTTCCTGGGTGAAGTCACGGTGAAGTTGCCACTATCAAAGATGTCTATCAAAGCTGGTGTCACAACAGCATCCTTGAGACCGTTGCTCCACTGGTGAGCAATCCCTTTGAGAAAGACGAGATATTTTTGTCCAGCATAAATCAGGTTGACCCTTTGTGAACGGGTGCAGTGGTCCATTGGTTGTCATTCCTTCGCTTGCGTCGCTTCCAGCTTCGAAGCAGACGCAGTCCGCCAGGACTGGTCCGCATGGCAGGAGTGCCCGGTGACTTGCGCTGGAGGTCAGCAGAGTCGCCGTCGGGAGGTGGAAGTGCCAGCCACCAACGGGGGCAAGGACTGTGTGGGGATGCTTGGCGAATGAGCTGGTGGGAATGACTGGACTTGGCTGCTGGTGTTCCGGGCCGTGAAGACCGGAAAGATGCGGCAAGATGTTGAGGGGAGCAGTTTAACAACCCTTGAACGAGCTTTCTGTATGTTCACATCTCTGACCACTTTCAGCCTGGAACTGCTTGCGTCTCCGTCGTCTTCCCGTGAGGAACAAGACTGAGAGCAAGGTCTGCAAGGAGACAGCATGTCCAGTCGATTGCGATTTGGACGATTGGAACGCCTGGAGCTCTTGTGAGCCCTACTGCTCAGGAGGGGCGGGGCACAAGGTGACGTCCTAGGGTGTGGATGGGTGTGGGGAATTGGATCTCACAATCTGATTTGGAGTTCTCACTTCACACTCCCCAAATCTCATGGTCTTCTCAAATCAGGTTGCCCTAGAGACCAATCAGCTGCAGGACATTCTCGTGTCGTCCCTATTGCCACTGTAGGTCTTTGGGAGACCGTGGGTGGCACATGCGGACCGCACGCAGGAAACACCACCCGGCAGCGGCGGGTGAAGAGCTCTCCGTCCCATGGGGGCCAAGCGTGTGGCAGCTCGGCGCGGGGGGGAAACCCGCTACAAAGCTGAATTGTTGCGCAAGTTGGAGGAGGCGGGAGGAGAGGTGAAGAGAGGCGAGGCAGGAACGCAAAAACTCCACACATAGATGTGGGGAACTAGGAAGCATACGCGCAGCCGGCCATACTCTGAACCACAAAGTGTTTTGGTAGAGGGTTTTTCGCCCATGGCCGCTGGATAGACGAAATCAACGTTGCTTGGACATAGCTCGGAAAGCGAGCGAACTAGGCCCTCTGATCCAGAGACATATCTGGATACCGTATGTAAAGATTTATATGTATATTATATGTTGGGTCTGTCCTAATACCTGTAACAGTCAGTAAACAAGCAAATCACTACTTTTGGACAAGGCCTCTACTAACCATCATCATCCACTGGGCCCAGGTAAGAACGGATAGACCCAAATTATATGTATACTCCGCGTAACGGGCTACATAAACATAAAGGCACCGCGCAACGGGTGTGAGAATCTCGGCACCGTGTCCAAAACCTGGTGAGAAATGCGATAGTGAACAGCCAAGCAAGCCGTGCGTCCTTGAGGGAACCATCCCATTTCTGCTCAGATCATCCTAACCCCGTCGATTTGTTTCATTCCTACATATGAAGAAACTGTTTCTCCCTCATCAATGTCAGCTCCAATTCGAGGTGCTGAGGAGGAGACAAAGACTTGCACCAACTTCTGCCTTAACTGTCGCTGGCATGACTGGAGCCCCTGGACCTCGTGCTCTGTTCCTTGTGGCGGCGGCAAGATGCATCGGTGCCACGCCGAAGTGGGCCGGGCAACGAAACGATTGAAACAGGGGTACTGACGCGGGCCATGAATGATTGGATTTGAACTGTTTGAAGGTATGGGAGTGCGACATCAACAGAGGTTGGATATGTTCTGGAGCTGATATGGAGCATGCGCAGAGAAAAACATCTAGTCGGCGTTGCAGATTGGCTCCAATATGCGGCCAACACAAGTGTGGAGTTGAAATATCATCCTCAATGTGTTCAGCTTGAGTGAACCAAGTTGTTCAAACTCAAAAATAGATGTGAAGGCTGTGGGTATCCTATCACCACATCAACAAAATACGAGTGTTGAATCGTGTTTGATAGCAAGATGGAGATGTTCGGGGGCTCGTGCTCGCAAACTGAACAAGGAGCAGAGATCAGACACTGGCTATGCCAGAAGGAGGCCGCAAAGCCGTGGTGATCCGGGGTGGGTGGGGTGAATGATGGAAACCCATGTGATGGATGTTTCTTTAAGGACTGTGACTTGGTTGCCCTGGGAACTGCCTTTCTGCTTCGTGTTCAGTAGAATGCCCAAGAGTGAAGTAGAAATCAAAGGATTTCTAGCTGAGCTGGGGCGGCACCAATCAGAGAATCTGCCAACCGGTTATATACATATTAGAAAAGAAAGATCATACCTCCACTCTTAGTCCATAGTGTGGAAGGCCTGGGTTCGGAATTGGCAGCATGTATTCTATGCATGCTTTTCTTCCCTTCTATTCCTTCAAACGCATGTCTACCAATCACCGGTGCCCCGCCTCTGGAGGCCACGCGAATGCAGCTTCCTTGCTAGAAGAGGAGCCGGTGAAGGTCTTTGGCTTTGAGTTGAAGGTGAACAGGAGATGTGATGAAGTTCACCAGGCGGGGAAGATGACAGGGTGAGTTTCTCATCGGTGGACTCTTGTGGGTGACGAATTGGCGCATCCAATGGTTGGATCCAACCTGTGGATGGTCACAGTGCACACCACAGAAAGCCGGGTCACCCTTGGGAGAATTTTGGATGATTTGATCATCGGTCAGATGGTATCAGATCTACCAGCGAAGAGAGTGAGCTTTCTGAAAGAGGGTCGATGGACGTGAATTTGCTTCAAGACTTTTGAATACTGCTGACGCATCCCATGGAGGATTGACCACATACATGGGGCTTTGACAGAAATTCACATGTTAAGGATTGTTAAGCAAACACATGTGCAGGAAGGCTCAGAAACATTGGCCTGATTGGTTTCTGACTGTGCGCGACTGTGACTTTTGGATTGGACCTCCACCTTCGACGAACATGAAAGGGTGAACTGTGTTTTTGCCACGAGTTCGGTGGGGCCCCATTGCAGAATGCATGACGATTTCAGGACGATGTCCATGTGTCGATACCAGGGGTGGCAATGCTCAGTTTCTGACCACACAAGCCTCATAGGTCGGACGGGCTGTCGGACTGCTTCAAGCTGTGTTGGGAGACAGGAGCAGAAGGGCCTGACCTTGGCGAAGGCCAAGAAGCAATGCCAGGACGCGAACCTTTTTGATCTCTGTTGGGTGACAGCACACGCGTTAATGGGGCATGAGATGCGTGCAACACGACCAGTAGTTTGCAGCTGCAGCTGTTCCTGATTTGGCTGGGGGGAGAGTTGCGTATCGCACTCTAATTTGTTGGCCCAGTGTATGGGTTATAGTAGGGTGGTTATATATATATATATATATATATTAGCAATCCGTGTCTTCCTTCATGTCCCGTTTGGCCCTTGATTGTACCCTTTCCCGGGGTTGGGCAAGGGCCAAGGCCAGTGCCAGGTGTTTGTGCCGACGTGAGTGATCGACGTCCCCCTTGATGGAACCTCCTTCTACGCCCAAAGACTCCCCAAACTTCCACAAGATCCTGTAAGGCTGAAGGCTTTCATAGGCTCTGCTGCTGGAGGGGCAGGATCAGCAACGTGATGTTTGTCGATGTTGGTTGAGCACCCCAGGATCGTTGTATGCTCGTGGGTTCCATTTTCTGGGTGCGGAACAAAGGAGGATGAGAGCTGCGCCGGTCTCTATGACCCTGGCTGTGACGGACAGAAGGCGAAGAGGATTCTTTCGGGGGTCGCATGGGCCGAATGGGCGGTGGCTCGATGGGGCTCGAATGGGTTCAACATGAAGAGCTCCGGAAGTGAAGGGCTGGGTCGCATGCTGCTTCGGGTCACAGTTTGTATCTCAATAAGGTAGGGCTTCCTGAGGCCTAGAAAGCTTTTCTTTTCAACCTTGATGTTCAAAGGCACATCAGACAGGACAGGCATATTTAGTTTGACAGCACCCTGAAACCAACTAAACACATAATTTAATAAGTATAAGTAAGTACAAGAAAGATTTATTAGGGGAAAGTAACTAGTACTTATAAGAAAGATTTTCTATTTTTCTAGTAGTAGCTAGTAGTAGTTTATGAGTCTCATGAACCATCCAAACTACTCGTGAGACTGCTGCTTGCGTCACCAAAGAAAACACAAAAGTGGCTCTTCAGCCACCCCTGCGGGAAGGTCCACGTTTGCACAGTGGATTTCCATATGCAGCCCGAGAATGCCTCTTGCAGCTACACCAAGAAGGCCCGAAGACTTGCATCCGCTGTGAACTGGTCATAGTGAAAAACGATGGATTTGTAGACCTCGCAGACTTCCCAGCACCAACAGGTCCTCAATGGTTGGACAAGAATTGATGGTCTACGGCGTCTACGTCTACGCTACCATAGGGTCAATCATGTTTTCTCGTGGTTGAAATCATTGAGAGCCCCTAGACTACTGATATAGGTCATTACAGATCAACAGGAGCGGCCATTCTCCAATGGGTCTGAGGTAATGCAGACTCTTGATCAATAACGCCTGCATATGAAGAGGTTTTTCAATTCAAATGTCAGGGGTTATTAATCAAGAGTCTACATTAGAGATCTTTATTCGGCTTTCACAATCCTGGCCTTGACCATTTTCACAATCAAGGCATCTCTCAGTCCTAAGCATCCTGATCGGACTTTCTTTCCAAAGGCGTAGGATTGCTTCTGATGTTCCCGTCTAATTCCCTTATAGTGACATAGAACAAAAGTACGTAGAAGAGTAGGGAAAAAAACGGTAATTAGAGACTTATTGAGTTTCTGTCGTCCAAGGATCTGAGATGCTACCCACTTGATTCTGTGGATGGTGGTAGAACCCCCAACACCATCTGAACCACGGCCTACAAGGAGATTGGTGGCGGTGCCGTTTGTGAGGGTGATGGCTTTGAATCCAAGGATTGCAACACCCAGTCAGGAGCTTAGAAAGACACCGGACTGGAAATGCCAGTTAAACAAAGGTTTTTACGTGTCAGTGTGTACATATGTAAGTATAAATTTGTCCATACATGGATTGGAGGGTGGCAAGGAGTGGGGCTTTTCCTGCAACCAAGCGGTATTAACTATACATTACTAGAGCCTAGAACCTTTCACAATGCTTGTTTTGGTCCCCACAACCATTTTTCACGGAAGATGCGAGTTTGTTCGGGTTATTTCAAGGAATGTAAGAAGCGGCAGTACCAAAAGCTGACATTTTAGAGCTGTTCATAAACGATTTCGGAATTTGCTCGAAGTCTTTGAGATCTCTGAGAGATTGGTGCCCACTTGGTGTCCGCCTTTGGTCAGGCCCTGCCCCGTGGATTGCTCCTATGGCGACTGGACGAACTGGACCAGCTGCGAGCCCTTCTGCCTGGGCAGGCAGACACGAAGCCGCGAAGTGCTGGCAGAGGCGGCGAATGGAGGGCAGGCATGTGCCAAGGAGGACGCGATTCCGTATCGTTTGGGCAGGTCGTGCAGTTCCGTTTTGGAGTCTCTTCTCGTTGAGCAGGCATAGAAGGAAAGAAGGTGACAGAAATCGTTGTAAAGACTCCTGCTCCTGCCCTCTGTCTCGGCCTTCAGGACTTGCAGGAAGAAAATGCCTGCATGAACGAGTGCAGGGACTGTCAATGGGAAGAATGGACCGAGTGGGACACTTGCACCATCTCCTGTGGAGGCGGATGGATCCGCTGTGGGAGAGACTGGACCCGAACGATCCCGAACACAGGCTTTTTGCATCGGTATGTCACAGCCTTTGACTAGCTTGGTGTGTGGTTCAAGTTTGTGCAGCCTCCCATCCACTTTGGTTTTGGAATTGGGCTTGGGAGCAACAATCACCTACCCGAAGGTCCAAGTGGACTCATCCTGGAGTAGATGAACCTTGGCAAGAACCATCACAAACCCATTCAATTTGTGGCACCTCCACGTCCTACCTCCTCAGCTGGGGTCTTGGCTGGTTGCCGGTCGACGCCGGTCGCGCCCGGTCGCGGTTTCTGCAGGCGGCACGCAGCAGCACCGGCGTGGCATCCAGGTGACCATGGCTGGTGGGGGAACGAACTGCACGGGGCCCAGCAGTGAAGAGCAGCCGTGCAACGGCGAAAGGCCGCCAGACCGTGGGACTCCTCGAGACGCTGAGTTCGGGAGGATGGAGGATCGATCCAATTGGGAACCGGAGTTCGGCCTGTGGAGTTGGGCATCTAAGAAAGTTGGACCATTTCGGATAAATTCACTTTGGTGTATTGCCAGAAGCCAGAACTTGGTGAGATGTGAAGAGTATTGCCGTCCGTCCCTCCAAGCCGTCCTGTTCCTCCAAAACATGGAAAAACGCTTCGATGGCCCCGCCCTAACCTCGTAGCTTCTTGTTACGAGTAGTAAGGCCAGGAGCTACGTTCGTAGCGTCCTTGCTCCGTTCGTAGCGATGCCCTTTGTCCCTAGTAGTTTCTGGTTACTAGTACACATCCTCTGGTGCCACAGCAAGAGGTTTCCGGCCCGACCTCTTCGGGGTCCCACTGGGTCGCCGAAGCTCGGTTTCCGTGGACCGACGGCAGGTGCCCCGTGGACTGCGTGTTGCTCGATTGGACTGAATGGACGGAATGTGCCCCCTACTGCTCTGGTGGCCCAGCAGAAGCATGTGCATGAAAAATGTTCAATATATGTATATATATATATACACACATCATCTCTCTATCTATATAAGATATAACTCCTCAACATACTTTAAATAGGTAATGCTCACGCAGGATCCACTGGTTTACGCTGAAAAGCCTTGATCCCTCTCTGGCTTGGGGGCCTGTGCTTCTTTCGCAATTATACAATTACACGAAAGATCACTAGCAGACAACTTTGTACCAGAGAGCGAGTTCATCTTCCTGCAATCCAACTCATCAAAGAGATTGTTGTCTTTTTCTGTTGTCCTTTCCTTTAAAATAATCTTTCGCATGTACAGACTGTATCAGTTTTTCTTTCTGACCATGTCAGAAGCTGCTGAGGTGAAAAGAACCGGACACGGACTGTGATGTTGGAAGCAGTGGATGGGGGTCAAGCCTGTGGGCCGTTGCTGGAGACGAAGGCGCGTCTCGCCGTGCGGGGCGTTTGGCGGTGCAGGGTGTGTGGGAGGGACCGGAAGGATGGGTGGAAAGGTTTGCGTTCGTCTTGTGGATCACAGGTTGTCACCAGCATATTTCTGAGGCTGGTCATGAGGACGAGGCTCGGCCCCCAAAGTTCACCCGGGTAGATCTGCGATCGTCGCAGAAGAGGAACGTCGGCGTCCGCAGCTTTTCTGCGGACACGGTTTTTGGCGGCGAGGGATCGTTGATCCAGACCTACATGGGTGGAATGAGCAACGAGTCGCAGGCCCTCTTAGCCCAAGAACTCTATCGTCTCTGGGGGCCAGTACCTCTAGGCCCTTAAGTATTTTTTGGCCTTTGCTCAGCTGACTGTGGGTCTTAGCCAGCTACGGTCCTTAATACTGCAGCCTGTGCCTCAGTACTTTAACATGACACCTCGCACGAGGGTCACCACCAAAGGAGGTTCTGTTTTCAGGTTCGACCCTCAGAATTGCTATGTGGATTGCCCCTGCATTGTTTTTGAGTCAAGGGGAAAAGGAGTAAAGGAAGATGGTGCTGAATTGCAGAATGAGTACCATTTGTTTTGAGGTGGATTTTTGTGTATCTTTGGAAGCTGCCAGCTGTCTCTTCCTATGACTCTTTTCCCTTGAAAAAAGATGTTTCTGTGACCCAGGTCCTGCGGTGTGACGTGAACTGGGGGACACAATCAGCCTTGGCTTGCAGGAGTGTGGGAACTTCTGCATGGATTGCCAAGTGGCTGAATGGTCCACCTGGAGCAGCTGCAGCAGCAGCTGCCGGGGCGGCTGGTCCATTCGAAGCCGCAGTGAGGTGTACCTGGGCTGACGTGTTTAAAGCTTCAGAAACCGCACCTCCCGGAAACGGATCATTTCATTTTCCCGCGTGCGTTCGGAGGGTTCGTTGGTTTTTGGAGATGCAGCTGTCCCACATGTCCAGGTCTTTCACTGGGAGGATACTCGCACTTTCAACAGCGTCAAAGCACCCACGCAAAGCGTCAATTCAGCTAGGTCCTAGGGTGACGACCCACATTCCTGTAGATTTTCTCGTCTTGTAAAAAAGTCCGGATCCGCGGTCAGCCAAGCTTGATTCTGAAATTCCAACATAATCCGATCGTCCACTCCCTGCATGCCCCCCAAGACACTCTTTTATAGGCCTTTCGTGGCCTATTTCTTTTCTCCGTCGCGCAGTGGCGGTTCCTTCAGGTATTATGTGAAAGCTCGAGCTGGAGCTGCCCAGCCTCAGGCACCACTGCTTTCACCACCCAGCCTGTTGGCGTTTGGCTATGAGAAGAAGCTGAACTTCAGGTGCTGATTTGGTCTGGACGGAAGCGGAACTGTTGGCACCTCAAGCCATGCTGTCCAGGGACCAGATGGATGTTTTTTGGATCAGGTGGATAATCATACGGATGTTCGTTCGCAGCAGATGGGAATGTTCTCCCTGAAGGACAAGATCCTCTCAGATCGATGGATTTTCCTCAGATGGGATCTCGTTCTACCTCCTTGTTGATGAGATGGTCAGATGACACATTTTCCTGCCCTGTGACTTCTCAGGTGCTCTGCCAGCAGCCTGGGTGCCTTGGCGGGCGCTCCGAACCGCGCGGAGGCCACCTGCAGCCTGGGGCCCGAGAACCCGCCTGGGCACGGCCCGAGAACGGCCCGAAACCACTGGGCACGGTTGGGGGACCGAAGGAGCGGCAAGTGAGACTGACCATTGGATGCACCCAAAGACCGGACACGTTGGAATGGCCATGGGTTCTTAAAGACCAACGACAAGAGAGGACGAGCGAACAAGAAGTGACCCTCGTGCGGGCGACCTCGTGACCTCGTGTGGTTCTCCTGGAACGTCGTCCTCGTCGTTTTGTCCCCAAAACGCGTGATGGCCCACTTAGGCGCCGATGCTGAGTGCGAGGCGCTCTATGATGAAGGGTGCCATGGAGTACTCACTGCACCCCAGCTGTTTACAGTGGCCCCGGTGAAAGGGGTGAAGGGGGTGGAAAGACTGACATAGAAAATGGGAGAAGTACCGTGTCTTATGAATTGACACAGACCTATCCCTTGTTGGGCAGTGCTTTTTGCCAATAAGACCGAAACACCCTGTCCAAAGCTTAACGAAGTCCATACCAGATGTGGATCTGAACCCTCCGTCCCGGACATTCCATGGGGTGGTGGATCGTTCGGAGTCCTTCACGCCCAGGTTTGCAAGAAGGGTGTGAGCTTCGAGCATGAAGCGGGCTCTTGCACCTACAGCCACCCGGATCTCAGGAGTTCTACAGAAATGACATAGGAAGGAGATGCGACTGCGACTCTGGATTTTCCATCATCTTTCCAGTCTCAGAAGATCCACACATTGCGGGAGATATCGGAGATGCAGTTTACCGTAACCTGAGTCCAAGGTAAAAAGGAGATTGGTCAAGGGAGTCAAGGCCAAGCTTGCGATGGCAACAGCTCGCAGGCGGGACTGGTCGGTGTTTTTATTTTCTTTTTTGAACGTTCTTTGTCCGACAGCCAGGACTTTCCGGTAAAGGAACAGAATGGAACAACATGTCTACAGTAATTGTAGCACTTTTGGATTCAATGTTTCTAAAACATCGCCTGTTAATTTAAGGAACACTTTCGGCTTTCCATCCGCATCAAGATGCATATGGAGTATCATGGCCAGCTGGTAGAGGATCAATGTGTGGGGAAGGTATTTTGGGCCAAACACCAAGCGCTCAAGGTTTTGGTCCACACCCACTTGACGCCTTGCTCAGCCTTTCTTTTCGTGAGGCAGTGGCCTGCAACACTCAGAATTGCCCGGTGGACTGCAAGAACTCCAATTTTACCGTCTAGACGCCCTGCGAACCCTTCTGCGACGGCACGCGCAGCAGGTGGGCTTTTGTTGGCGCTTAGGGCCTTTGGAGATTTGCTGCGGGCGGTGCAGGAAGATGATCACAGGTGATCACCGGGCCCGTTCTTTTTCACCGAGCCCGTAGGCCTTCAAAAGTGTGAGACAAAGATCCCTTGAAAGAATTTACACATCACAGTTCCCAAGCACCCATTCGCAGCACACCAACATCAAGGCTCAGGCTTGTACAGTACATGTGAGGATAAGAGATGGGGATGAATCAAATCAGCGTACAACTTTTTGACCCATGAACCAACTGCAGACTTTTTCTAACCGTCCTGTCCTAACCTGTGTTTTGCACCTCTGGCAATCCCTTTGTGCGGAACGGGAATCTATGGCCTTGTGGGATCTTGTGGATCCAAATGGGGAAGAACCAACATGCAAGGACTGTTTTCTCTGCATGTTCACAAGGAAATCGGAGAGAATCTGTTTACCCGATGAAGAATCGGTGATCCTTGAGCGTCTTCCGCGTTGCCGAGAACGACGGCCCGGAGGCGTCGACCGGTGGGGTCCATGGCGACGAGCTGACGATTGCTCTGTGACCTGTCGAGCTGAGCCCCAAGGAAGCAGTAAGGCCAGGTGAAGAGCTCTAAATGAACGGATGCAGTATCGGAGGGTCTTCGGGGGAAGGCAGGGTGGATCACGCTTCGCGGGCAAAAGACCCAACATACATGGCCTCGTGTGGTGTTTTCATGTGTTTTTCCATACCGATGCTCCTTGAAGGGTGGAGATGGAAAGACGCATTCCCAACGAACATCTTGAAGAGAGCAACCTATTCGTTGACTTGGGCAAAGACACGGTATTGGTTGGTTGAAAGAGAGACTCATGGAGGAGCGGGTTGTCAACAAATCATATTCTATTCATTATACAAAAAAGATCTTCCCAGGTTGGCCAATTACAACTCCAGGAAACTCTTCTGCTTCCCAGGCGTTCGCGAGGGTGCCATGAGTTTCAACGCGGGCATGGATGCTGAATGCGGAGGAGCAGGGCGTTTGTCTAAGTGCGGTCCCCCCATAAGAGGCTTGCTGTCACATCCCCTGGGCACTTTGTTCCAAATGCACGTTATTTTGATCCTCCGCAAGTTGCTTGCCTGCAGATTCAGTCCCAATGTTTGGACCTTAAGACCTCCCCCCGGCACCATGGCGGCCTTCATCGTTGCCGCGTCGCCCTCGCGGCCGAGCGCCTGGCGCGCTCGGGAGCCGAGCGCTCCGCTGGCGGGCGCGCCGAGCGCTCCGCCCAGCGCTCCGCGCCGCCCGGCGTGGACGGCCCGGACCGTGGCGTGGACGGCCGCGGGCAGTGCCGGGCTCGCGGCGGGTGCCGCGCGGAGTCGCCGCGGGCGTCGGGAGTCCCGCGCGGGGGCGGTGACGTGGCGCTGCGCGCGGCCCAAGCGGAAAGGCCGTGGACCGAAGCAGGACTTGATTGTGGAACCATGTTCAATCAAGTTTTTCACAGCTTTAATTAGAGCACAACCACAGGGTGGGCACGGGGTCCTTTGGGTCAGGAGGAGCCGCCGGAGCAACTTGAACTTGATGATCTCATTCTGCCAGCGGATGGGATGACTTTGGGTGAGCTGGCTTCGTTGATTCGGACGCCGGTGGCCCAGATCATCACCTATTTCTTCGCTGAGAAGGGTAAGCCGATGACGATCAACGACGTCTTGGAAAAGGAATTGATTGAAGAGGTTTGCAATCATTATGAATTGGAATACATTTTCGATGATGAGAAGACCACCACGGCGGGCGACCGGGGCTTTCTGGCAGAACAACAGGAGGGTGACCACCTTGAGCCTCGCCCTCCAGTGGTCACAGTGACCTGGCTCAATGGCTCACCATTTCGGGAGACTGGGGAGACTTGGTGGTGGGCGGTTGGAAAGAATTATGACATATTGTAATGGAGGCAGAAGGGAAATATAAAGCAACATTATATAATTATCGTTGACATATAGAGACACACAGATTGTTTATATTGTTATAATTATGACATATATAGAGCACACATGATAATATGAGTGTTTTTGTTCTTTCAGACAAGCCCAACGTCATGTCTTTCTCTCGAGCTCCCGGCTCTTGTCCTCAATCTGATTCGTTCTCTGAAGTTTTGGGCCACAGGAACATCACAGCAACGCTTCTGCTTGGGTAGGGGACATTCAGCCACACAGCATGTCACATGTCCCTCCCACCAGACCCAACACCGCTGTTCGGAGCCCGACCTCGGCCTCCGACCTTCGACCTCCGGCCTCCGACCGGTGCCGGAGAGCCCCTAGCGTCCTTGCTCCTAGTAGCAATGCCAGGAGCCCCGTCCGTAGCATCCTTGTTCCTAGTAGTATGGCCAGGAGACCCGTTCGCAGCGCTCTTGTTGCTGGCAGGTCATGGGGCATGTGGACCATGGGAAGACCACCTTGCTGGACACCCTGCGGCAACGGAGCGTGGCGGCCACGGAGGCGGGGGGCATTACCCAGCGGATCGGCGCCTATACGGTGGAACTGGATGGGCAACAGATCACCTTCATAGAGCCTTGGCAGCCGTGGCAGCCTTGGCCTCTGAAAGCCCTCCGCACAAAGCGGGCGGCATGTTTCTATTTCTTGATGGTAGTGTTTTGGCCAAGCCATCTTGTGCCACCAGTGAGGGATTTGAGCCCAGACAATTTGAGAGGCCCACGCTTTCAGCTTTCTATGATTTTTAGAAGTTGATTTTTTATATCCCGTGATGCCATCTATCGCCCAGGACACGCCCGGGCACGAGGCCTTCACCGCCATGCGCGCGAGAGGCGCGCAGGTCACCGACATCGCGGTGCTGGTGGTGGCCGCTGACGACGGGGTGATGCCCCAGACGCGCGAGGCGATCGCGCATGCGCGGGCGGCGGAGGTGCCGATCATTGTGGCCATCAACAAGATTGATAAGGCGAGGAAGGGGAAGGGGGAAAGGGAGATGAAGCGTTGGGCTGCAACTTGACGGGTTTGCATGTCAATCATTGGATTTCATGGATTTTCAGGGCAGATGGCAGATGGTGCAAGTACAGAGCCATTTCAAACAGATCCCACCAAGTACCTGTGGATTTGATGTTTGCCCGAGTTCGTGCGAGCCTATACGGTGCCAACGAAGCGCTTGTGTCGCCCAGGACGGTGCAGATGCGCAGATGACCCGGCAAAAGCTCTCCGAGGAAGGTTTGATCGCTGAAGATTGGGGTGGCGATGTTCCCATGGTGGAGGTGAGTGCCAAGAAGAACATCAACTTGGACGACGCTTGGTTGGGAAGCACTTCGTTGGGCGTAGGGTTGTGGGAGGGATTCTTGGAGGTTTCTTAGCTTGGTGGTGGGAGTCAAGAAGAGCCAGTAGGAGTCCTGAGCAGGAATTACCCGCTGGGTTCTTCGGAGTTGAATCGATTGTTGCGACCACCAGTCAAATCCACTCCTTCCCTTTTTTCCCCAAACAGTGTGGACACACTAGGGGTTAGCACCGGTGTTTAATTCGAGGTGTTGCGCATTCGTGTGCGGCCAAGTACATTCATGCCTCTCAAAATCCTCGGAGTGCATTTTGACTGCGGAGGCCCAGGCTCGCAAAGTCTGCGTGGGCGCGGCGGGTGCTTGTCGCGACTGCGCTCTCGTTGTGGTGCCGTGTGCATTTTGGGACATGGTGGTCACTTTTCGTGGCAGGTGCAAGGGAAACCTTGTGCTTTTGGTGGTCCAAAGTCGACTTTTCGTGACAGATGCAAGGGATCGGAGCGGTTTACTTCGAAGTGCAGATTTCGTAGCAGACGCAGCGCTGTGGACATGGTGGTGATCTTCGACGCGCTCTGACTTCGTGACAGGTGCAGTGCATCGTGACTTTTCTACATGTGGCAGGTGGCAGCTGCAGTACCTGATACTTTGTGGACCTTGAAGTACAGATTTTGTGGCAGGCGTAGCGCTTTGAACCTCGAAGTGCAGATTTACATAGCAGGCGCAGCACTTTGTGAACCTCGAAGTGCAGATTTCGTGGCAGGCACAGTACTTTGTGAACCTCGAAGTGCAGATTTTGTGGCAGGCACAGCACTTTGTGAACCTTGAAGTGCAGATTCGTAGCAGGCGCAGCACTTTGTGAACCTCGAAGTGCAGATTTCGTAGCAGGCGCAGCACTTTGTGAACCTCGAAGTACAGAGTTCGTAGCAGGCGCAGCACTTTGTGAACCTGGAAGTACAGATTTCGTGGCAGGCGCAATACTTTGTGAACCTCAACGTGCAGATTTTGTGGCAGGCACAGCACTTTGTGAACCTTGAAGCGCAGATTTCGTGGCAGGCACAGCACTTTGTGAATCTCGAAGTGCTCTTACTCACACTCACTCACTCACTCACTCACTCACTCACTCTCTCACTCACTCACTC